TTGTTAATTACCCGATTTTATTGAATCATTTGAATTGTTTTTAAAGATTTACCCATGGCAATTAACCACAGCCATTTATCTGTAATATTGCATGCATTTGACTTGAATATGCAGTGAGGACCCCCGTTTCAGAGCATCAGCAGAGAACTCCTACAATCTATGGTGGAACAATAGAATGATTCAAGACACGCAGTAAATTTTCCAAGGCCTCTTGCTAGTTTATATGTTTTATGATTCCGAAGACTCATAATGACCCAGCATAGAAAAAGTGCTCAAAACACACTTTAAATAATTTCATTCACCTCCAGGAGGATCCAATTCTTTAGAGTTAATTTTTAATGTGATTTGATGTGATATGTTTGGTAGAGAAACAGGGAACGTTTCAACCTAAAGGCTTCTTTACCTTTGCTGGAATTAGCATCTCTGTGACTGTTTCTCCTTAGCAGCCTATGGCATCCAGGGGTCTCTATTCCTCAGGCATTCTCAGGAAATACATCTTTAGGAATTCTTTGTGAAGCTTAACATTTATTTTCTCCTATGATTATTAACTGTTTATAGATCTCCTGTGAATTTTTCAAGTTCTAGGCTCATTTTCTTTTGTGACATTCAATATTTTTCTTAATTAGTAAGTTAAGTGCTCTTACACGGTAAAAGTTTGCTGGGGTATTTTATTTTATTTATTTATTTTTTTAAAAAAAATATTTATTTATTTTGGCTGCACCGTGTCTTCCTTGAAGCACGCGGGATCTTCTTTGTGGAATGCGGACTCTTAGTTTTGGTATTCACGCGGGATCTAGTTTCCCCGATCAGGGATCGAACCTGGGTCCCCTACATTGGGAGAGCGAAGTCCCACCCACTGGACCACCAAGGAAGTCCCTGCTCAGGTATTTTAAATAAGAATTTTACAGCTACTTTCATAAACTGAATGATTCATAGTTTTCTCCTTGTTCTGTCTTCACTAGATTTTGGTGTCAGAGTTAATGAGTATATCATAGGTGAATTTGGTAGCTTCCTATCTTTTCTTATGATCCAGAAGTATAAATACTATGAATCATATCTGTTTTATACAGGTTTGAAGGCATTCAGTTTTAAATGAACTTTCACCAGTTTTCTTCAAGATTATAGGTCTATTTGGGTTTTCTTGATCATTTGTAGTTTCCTAGATAATTGTCCACTTCATTCAAACTTTCACTATATTAGCCTTTAGCACAGAGAATTGATCTACTAATTTTAAAATCTTCTTTTTAGCTATACTGGTATCTCTTTATTAGTCCCAATTTGATTTATTTATATTTACCCTTTGGTGCTTTATCAGATGTCAGATTATTTCATTAATTAAAAAAAATTCAGCTCTTGGATTTATTCATCAACACAATTGTTTCATTATTTTCAAACTCTCCAAGGTTATCTTTACTATTTTCTTTTTTCCGTGTGCCATATATTTATTTTAATGTTCTTTTCCTAACTTCTTGAAATGCACTTTTGTTTTGTTTTGTTTTGTTTTCGTTGTGTTTTTTTTTTTTGCGATACGCGGGCCTCTCACTGTCGTGGCCTCTCCCGCTACGGAGCACAGGCTCCGGACGCGCAGGCTCCGCGGCCATGACTCACGGGCCCAGCCGCTCCGCGGCACGCGGGATCCTCCCGGACCGGGGCACGAACCCGTCTCCCCTGCATCGGCAGGCGGACTCCCAACCACTGCGCCATCAGGGAAGCCCTGAACTCCTTTTAAATAAAATACTTAAACATATAAAATTTCCTGAGTATAGATAATGACTTTATCTTATACATTTAATAGATAAAGCTTACACTTTCAACAGTTTGTAAATAGTCTAATTTTGCTATTTTCTCTTTGATTAAATAATTATAAACTTTTAAAAAAGATTTGGGGTTTCTTCTGTAACATATGTTACTAGTGTAATTTTATTGGACTGTGGTGCAGGAACTTGGTCTACACAATGGAAAAATACAGTGATTTTTTAAAAATTACCTATTATATGATCAATTTGAATGGCTCAAATTCTCAGTCTTAATAGCTTAGTTGAACAGATTTTAGTATATGCCTTTTTATTAGTGGGAGGCAGATTCTCAAGTGAAAGAATACTCTTTTCTCTGAAATTCATCCTTCCTTCTCCAAGTCCATTGATGCTTTTCTTATTCTACCCCTTATCATCTCGCATTTGGACAACTCAATACTAAACTCAGTTGGTGGTGCAGCCTCCAGTCTCTGCTACGCTATTCCTCCACAATGCCATTAACATACCCATCTCCTGTTTAAAAGGTTTTAATGCTTCTCCACTGCTTATGGAAATTAGGTCAAACCTTTCCTCAATGACATTCTTAGCTCATCACAATTTCTCCCCTCTATCTAGACTCATCCTGTATTCTCCAGCCCACCTATGTTCCCACCACCACTGGGGCATCTCCATGCTCTAGCTGTGCTGAGCTGCAAGCTCATTCCTGAATTCCACGACACTCTTGCCTTTACTTATTGATGTAATCTTTTCAGTTGCCATTATTTCTCATTCCACATGATTGTCCTTTACACCCCAAATTTGGACCAGTGTCTATAGTAGATCTCCTAAAGTTTCTAAAACTTTACTCCCCTATCAAGTCAGATCTCCAGAGAGCCCTACCTGGACTACTCTTGAAGGGGACTCAGGTACCTGATGGACATGCATTCCCAGACTAGTATTTAGAATTTGAGCCCCAGGGGGAGACAGCCTTAGCATTCACTAAGAGCCAGTGTGAGAAGCGGTCATAAGAGGGCATCCTTTAAAGTTCCTTTTGCAAAACTTACATGGTAACTCTCCCTTGGAGTACAGTGCGCAGAAAATCTACAGTTATCGATAGCCTGATGTGCTTTCGATTAAATAATTAAGGATATGTAATCCACGATGTCTCTCTTGTTTTGGCTAGCAAAACGCTCAGGATGCTATTTCCTCCTGGTCTAGCTTTTATGATGTGTCAACCAGCTGTGTTACTTAAACTGTTCAAGTCTCAGTTTCTTTATCTATAAAATGAAGGTAACCAGTACCAATTTACACAGAGTGGTGTGTGAGAAGCCTAGCATGGTGTCTGGCCATTTGTTTAAAAATATGTACTACTGACTTCTGAGAGACTGAATATAAAAATGCACATGGACCATACAAAAATAAAACTCTGACCCACAACTTGCCCAAGAAACCAACCCCCTTATCCACAATGAAACAAACCAGGAAGCCAGCCTGCTATAAGTCAGACTGCCATCTCTGTTAACAATCCAAAAAGCTAAACAATAACTTCTGTACCAATTGACCCCAAATGGCTAGGACTTGATAATTAACAGCTTCTATAATTTTTGTCCCTCTTCCAACTTAGGACCAACCAGAGAAAACCAAATCTGCACCCCTAAGCAGTCACGTAGGATGTCCCCCTTCTAATTAGTTGGCCCCCAGCTTCCCCATGCCAGCCACTCCCAATCAGGGCACAGCTGAAGCCTCCCCTTTTTTCCACTACAGAGCTTTCCCGCTCCTCTGCCTGACTTTGAGTCTCTAACAAAACACAAGTGATGGTCTGACTCCTTGTTACAGCAAGTGCTGAGTAAATAGCCTTTGCTTTTCCTCATTTGGTTGGTCTCTGTTTATATGTACACTTCCATGTGTAAGATGCTGTGCTGAGTGCTAGAGGTATAATGATAAACATGGTCCCTCCCTCTTGGAGCTCACTTTGTACAAGGAAAGCCAGCAGATACACAGCTGGAGGTAGGCAGAACACTGCAAATGTCATGAAGGAAATCAAGACGTGCTATGATGGCGGGAAACCGGGTGTCAGAGGCGGTCTGCCGTAGAGAGTGAGCTAGACAGGACTGCCTGGTGTAGAAATTTGAGCTGAGACATGGAGGATGAGAATGAGCTGGCCACATAAAGAGGGAACAAAGAGCGTTCCAGGCATGAGGAACGGACAGCAGCCAGGGCCCAAGGTGGGAAACCACTCGGCAAGTTCTAGGAGGCCAGTGAGGCTGCAGCACAGTGGGTCTATGAGAGGTAGACCAACAGTTATTAGTTACGGCTAATAATTATTGCTTTGCCCTAAGAACCTCATGTTACTTCAGTGGTTTGATTATAGCAGTTTCAAACACTTTTGAAGTGGCCACTACATAAAGAAAAAAATGAAATAAGCCATTAATTAGAAATCATTTTAATAGCTAATATTTAAAGAGAGCTTATAGTTTGCTTTCTATGACTAAAATATTTAATTCTCCAAATAATCCTATAGGGGAAACTGTTATTACTTTCTTTCTGTAGATGAGGAAGTGAGACTGAGAATTTAGTAAATTTCCCAAAGCTGACACAGGAAATGAGTTTGAGGAGCAGGATTTGAATCAGGCAGTCTGACTCCAAAGCTGGCAGTGAGCTGCTATGCAATGCTGCCTCTTCAGGCTACATAGCTGCCGTGAATCCATCGTTTGATTTTACACACCAGTCCTCCCGAGTTTTATAATGGTTACTGTGTTTGCTGGCAGCAGGAAGTATGTTTGGAATCTACAGGCTATAATCTCTGATCAGGGATTCACATAACTTCAGAGTATTTATGATTAAGGAATAGGGTCTAATGGAGCATGAGAAAAATTTCCCTCACAAGAAAAATAAAACACTGTAAATAACGTTTTAATAATCATTCTCAATTTGCAGAACTTATCTACTATTAAATCTTTCTCCATAATTTATTACACAGATGTTTGTGGGTCAAAGTATGCCCAGCTTACAAACAGTTATCAGTTTGCTCTCCTGGGGAAACCAATTTGTGCTAAGTAGGCACAATGAAGACTGATCTTATTATTTAAACAAATTGGGTCAGAGAAAGGAAGCAGGCAAAATAGTCTGAGGACAGGTAAAAAGTGTTTTCAATCACTCATTTTCCAGGTGGAGTTCTGTTTCAGTGTATATACCCTCCGATTGACCAAAGCCTCCCCAAATCAAGCAGCCCCTCGGCCCGGCAGTGCCTGCAATCCGCTCACTTACATTCCCATCATGGTTTGGGCAAGAGAGAGGCTTCCCCGCAGCCACAGCGGTGACTGTCTCCAAGATGGAGGACTCCTCAGCATTGCTGCCTGGAGTTCGCTGCAGCACGTCCATCAGGTTTGTGATGAAGAAGTTGTTCTGGAGCGCGGCCACCCCCTTCTCGGGCAGGATGGAGGTCTGGCGGCACACGGGGCAGGAGAGGGTTAGACTGTGGGCGGGAATGTAGTTCTGCAGGCACCTGTCGCAGAAACAGAAGCAGGGCGGTCAGCACAGTGGGGCTCTTGCAGGAGCTACCAGACAGGTTCTCGGTGACTACAGGGCTACTTTGCATAACTTCCGTTGTGGTCTCCTTCACTAGGAAAAGATTAGTTCTGAAGTCAATAGGTCACCTCACATTGCACCAGTCAACTGATCAGATATTCTCATTGACTTTGGTACTGTTTCCTCGAGCTTTGCCACACAGGCAAAGCGTGGTCCACAGGTGCGCATCACTGGCCTCAACGGGGAGCTTGGAAGAAACGCAGACTCGCAGGACCCACTCCAGGCCTGATGAATCAGATTCCCAGGCGATGTGTATGCACATTTAAGATTGAGAAGCACTGATACCTAGTATGGCGTTCACGAATTTGTGGACTTTTACACAAATTGGAAGAAACATGTCACATTTTTTCTGTTACCGCTGAAACTCTTTTTACATACAAAATCATAAGCCGATTTCAGATGTTAAAAACACATCGAAGTGGAAATGTTTGTTTGAAACAGGGACGGGACACCCAGAGTCCCACCAACACCATCTCTTCTTAAGATCCTCTCCTTAAGAGCCATCAACTTAATTCATTTAACTAGCGAAATGTATGGCTGATACAGTTGACCCTTCAACAACGCGCGAGTTAGGGGCGCTGACCCTTCGTGCAGTGGAAAATCCGAAAATCCATGTATAACTCAGAGCCAGCCCTCCAATTACCCAGTTCCTCCACATCCGGGGTTCTACACCTGCAGATTCAACCAACCGCAGATCTTGTCATCCTGTAATACTGACTACTGAAAAGAATCCGCATATAAGTAAACCTATGCAGTTCAAACCCGTGTTGTTCAGGGGTCAACTTTACTTCCAGTAATCCTGTGATCACTTTTAAATGTATGAGGAAAGACAGGCAGAGAGAGGGTAAGTTACTTACCCAAGGGACTTAGGCCGTCAGAGGCAGAGTAGTTGTTCAAACGCAGGCAATTTGGCATCAGAATCTAAGCTCGACATCACTACAACGTTTCCCAGTTTCTCCAACAAATTTGAAAACCTCTGATTTCGCCCCATTTCTCTTATTTTGCAGATGGGGAAACTGACATCAAGGAGGTTAAGTGACCTTCCCTATGTCACAGTAGATAGCACTGAATCAATACCAGAGATGAAACAGCTTTTGCTAAGGTCACTCACTAGCAACATCTAAATCTAATACACATTTTTTGATTCTGTCATTCATCAAGCTTGAGCACTGCCTCCCCACCCCTCCTTTTCATGAAACTTTATCTTTCCTCGGTTTTCGATACCACACTCACCTGGTTCTCCTTCTGCCTGCTCTCTTTTCTACTGAGTCAATATAGTTTGGAGTTAATCAAGGCTTATCGTAAGCCCTCTTCTTTCCCTGGGGTATTATATTATAATGCACGATAAGCATAACACTCTCAGCCCCTCTGAGCCCCATAACTGTACACCAACTGCTCTCTCGACATCTCCTCTCAGAGGTCTCACAGGTCCTAAAACTCAACGTGTTCAAAACCAAACCCACGATATTCCCGCACGCTGTGTCCACCCATCAGTGAACTGCACCTCCATCCCTTCATCTAAGCAAACCAGAAGTACGAGTCATTCTAAAAACAGTAATTCCCATACTGGTCTTCACTGTCCACATGCAACCCATCACCAAAGCCTGGAAATTCCTCAGTATGGTTCCAGCCTCCCCAGGCCTCTTCATCTGTATGAAGACACCCTTGCTTAGATGTCTGCAGTTGCCCTGCCCCCGGTGTAATGCCATCCACCTTGTACCCCCCTCACCCTCCTCCATACTGCAACCAGAGTGACCTTTCCCAAATGCAAAGCCGACCATTTAAATCTCCTCCCCCTCACATCTAAGATGAAACCCTTCCATGGCTTCCACTGTTCTTACAATGAAGACAAGAATCCATATGTGGTAATACGGATTACCCACCTATATGATCTAGACCTATTTATTTTCTGTCATTTCCCCTCATCTGCTGCACATTTGGGCCTATCTAAGTTCTTCCAAAGTGTTATAGTCCCTTTTGCTCTACAGCTTTGCACATACCTGAAATTCTTTTCTTCTGCTCACTCCCCTTTGCTAAATTAATTTTTCCTCCTCCTGGGGATTTCTGCCTATTCATCACTTCTGCAGGGAAGCCTTCCCCGATTAGAGCAAATTCCGCTATTACGTGGTTGCCTGTGCACTTCTGGTGTATGGCCCTTGTCACTGGTTTAATCTCACATTAATCTGAGTGAGTAGGTGTTTAATAACTGGCTCCTGCACTTGGCTGGAAGCTTCATAAGGCCAGGGACTGTGTCTGTGTCCTCCAAGCCCCACTGATGGCATTTTAGAACAAATGAGAGTAAGAGAGCAGCTGTCCACTGAGCAGCCGGTGTTTGTGCCCAGCAGGAGATGGAGATAAGGGGTCCTGGGTCTCTCTCCATGACAAGCCGTGAAGTTTTGTCTCCACATAAACCAAATTTTCCCATCTTAGGGAAAGTTGCCAGCACCTTCCAAAGGAAATCAGTTCAATGTGCACGATGCTAAAACAATTTCAACACATAGCATTCCCTAGGGAATTGCCATGGTGGGATCTGGAAAATCTCCAGCAGTAGCTACTGGATGGGGCGTGGAAGTGGCGTGGGCTAGACCTAATTGAGAGGGCAGGAGGCCAACCCCAGGCAGCCCGGAAGGGCTGCTTCTCACCTGCAAGAGCAAGGAAACGGGAGCCAAAAACAGCCTGACGAGACACTGAACACTGGTGAAGGGGGCCGCCCTGCTAAGTTCAAGCTGAGTAGCTCTCAGCGTCGTGTATAAAGAGTGCCCAGCTATGTCGACTGCTTCCTCTCAAGTAATGCCCTTACCATGTGAGCCCAGGGACCCATGGACAGTTAAAGCTGGTGGTCATGCTTTAGCTACATCCATTGAGTGAGGGGGAAAAAAAATCACTCTCCATTTCACCATTTTGGAATATGAATTTTAAAGTACTTAAGCCAAGGTATAAAATTATGAATAAAGTACAAAGTATCAGTGCCCTATATACCACCACTTAAACAAAAAACTGTACACACATGTGCACACACACACAACCCCACAACAACCCAAAACAAAGAAAGCAAAACAAACAAAACACCACAACCACCAGTAACAAATCCACCTTCTCCATCCATCCATCCATCACCACCAAAGATGTAGTTATTCTCTTGCAGCTGAGACCTTCCAATGTAAATCAACTCAAAGAACGTTCAATGAGATAACAAATGTACCTTAAACTGGATGGTAAATGTAATTACCATTGATTTGAAGTCATTGGAAATACCAATTTCCTGTTCTATCATAGGAGGTAAAAAGTTTTAACTATGTATTAATTTAAAAAGGAAAATGTACTTAATAAACTGCTATAAAACATAATTAACATATCTGTCTTTAAGAAAAATACGTAAACTTACTAGGGAAATACTAAGATTAGACCACAGATAAACTAATTACCAGCAAAATTTTTTTTTTTTTTTTTTT